CAAGTCAACGTCTGTCTTCTCGCTACCCCGTTGTTAACTTCTGCTTCCTTTGTATGGTAGGGAATGTGGATTGTACGGTGTGCGTTACAGAATTTATCTTGAAAAGATTTCCTCAAATCACGCTCTCATTTCCCACAGCTTATACTCTGAATATTCAATAAAGACATGGTATGTTTTTCCACCATTAGTCTTCAGGGGGGTCAATTCTGAACTAAAATATTCTCGTTTAATATATTGTACAGTATTTTGTCCAGAAAGCATATGAAATGAATGTTTTAAATACCATCATACTCATGGGGCCTTATTTCCCATGAATGTACTTTTAGTAATTCTGATTGCCATAAAAATAATAGATTTAGCAAGCAGCTACTTACTACATGTGCCAGATGTCCTGGCAAGGGCTTATATTTTATGGTAACCATAACATAATCCATTTGTGGAACAGTGGTAATGGTAAAGAATATACCATGGTTAACGACTTTCCTATGCATTCCCGTAAGAGTTTCTAACCATTGTGGAATCTTTGATGTTGAGTAAGTTGCCAGCAATGATTAAAGGCCTTCCCACGTTCCTTGCATTTGGGTGGCTTCACACCAGTATGAGTTCTCTGATGTTGGGTAAATCAATCACTGTGATTAAACGCCTGACCACTTTCCTTACATTCATACGTTCATGACATCCATACATGGCCCAAGAGGGCTTTTCACCAGTATGAATTCTCTTATATTGAGAAAGTCCCAAGAAAGAACAAAATGCCTTTTTAAAAATTTTTTACATATATAGGGTTTTTAAACTAGTGTGACTTTTCTGATGATAATCTAGTTGAGAATTAAGCCTAAAGGTTTTTGCACATTCCTTACATTCATAGGGTTTCTCCCCAGCGTGAACTGACTGGTGTGTTTTCCAGCAGGACTCAAAGCTTTTCCACACTGCTTGCATTCATATGGTCTTAAATCACGATGAATTGGGGCTGGTGCAGTGGCATAGCAGGTGAAGCCATGGACTGCAGTGCTGGCATCCCATATGGGCACCGGTTGAGTCCCGGATGCTCCATTTACCAATGCAGCTCTCTGCTATGACCTGGGAGAGCAGCAGAAGATGGCCCAAGTCCTTGGGCCCCTGCACCCGCATGGGAGACCTGGAGGAAGCTCCTGGTTCCTGGCTCCAGATCGGTGCAGCTCCAGCCATTGCAGCCAACTGGGGAGAGAACCAGCGGATGGAAGATCTCTATCACTGCCACCCCTTCTCTCTCTGTGTAACTCTGACTTTCAAACAAACAAATACATACATCTTTTAAAAATCCCTATGAATTATCTGATGTTGGGAAAGGTAGGAATGAAGCTTAGAAGTCTTCCCACATTCTTTACATTCAAGTGGTTTTCAACCAGTATGAATTCTCTGGTGCTGTGTAAGTTGAGCGCCTGTACAAAAGGCCTTTCCACCATTTTTGTAATCAGAATTTCTCATTACTATACATTCTTTTGTTTAAGAAGGCTTGAGCCCCAGCTAAAGGCCTTTGCACACTCCATACGTTCTCACCAGTATGACTCCTTTGATGTTCAATAAGCTGATAGCTACAAACAAAGGCCTTTGCACATTCTATACATTTACTTGGTTGCTCACCGGAGTCAATTTTCTTATGTTGATAAAGACTTGAATGTTGTCCAAATGTTTGCACATTCCTTACACTCATATTGTTTCAAACCAACATGAGTTTTCTCATGTTCAATAAAGTGAGAAGGATACCGAAAGGCCTTCCCACGTTGATGACATTAAAGGGCTTCATACCACTATGAGTTCTCTGATGTTGAGCAAGCTGGAATAAAGTCTAAAGGCCTCCTCACCTCCATTACATTCATCGGGTTTCAAATCAGCGGGAATTTTCCTGATGTCTAATAAAGTTCTGGAGAACTACAAAGGCCTTTGCACGTTCTCTGTGTTTGTAGGGGCTCCCCCGAGTCGGGTCTCTCTGATACGCAGCGCTATGTGTCTCCTCTCAGAAGTCCTTACTGCGTTCCTTACACTTGAGTGACTTCTCTCTCGTGTTAATTCTCTCACATGGAGGAAGACAAACTTTTTTTCTAAGTACAATTTGACCAAAACATCTTATTTTAGGTCCCTGTTGTCTCCCAAATTTGATTTTGCATTGCGGATAATTCTGAAAATAAACCCTATAAGATTGAATGTCTTACTTCTTTTCAGTGTCTTCTGATGTTATGAATTTATTTCATAGCTGCTTTTTTTCTGAAGATAACTTGCTAGTCTTATTTGAAAAATTGAATCCTGAAAGAAAATAAGAAAAAAGCAAATGCTATTATTCTATATTGGGAGTAGAGTAGAGGGTTCTATATTAAAACTACTGGTAAGCTGAAAAGTATATTCACTAGAAATAAAAAGGTTAGAAAATTATAAAGTACTGTCATGCAATTTTTTATGATTTAATATTTATTTACAAAATGTAATTACAAAGAAGGAACAAATTTCATATATACAGTTTTTTTAAAAGATTTATTTTATTTATTTGAAAGACAGAGTTACAGAGAGAGGTAGAGACAGATTGAAATGTCTTCCATCCACTGGTTCACTCCACAAATGGCTGCCACGGCCGGCGCTGTGCCGATCTGAAGCCAGGAGCCAGGAGCTTCTTCTGGGTCTCCAACGTGGGTGCAGGGGCCCAAGGACTTGGGCCATCTTCTACTGCTTTCCCAGGCCACAGCAGAGAGCTGGATCGAAAGTGGAGCAGCTGGGTCTCAAACTGGTGCCCAAATGGGATGCTGGTGCTTCAGGCTAGGGCATTAACCCACTGTGCCATAGCATCTGCCCCAAATCTTTGTCTTTTTAAAAAAATATGTATTTGAAAGAGTTACACAAAGAGCGTAAGGGACACATACACACACACACACAGACTGAATCTTCTACCTGCTGGTTCACTCCCCAAATGGCTGCAATGGCCAGTGCTGGCCCATGCCGAAACCAAGAGTCAGGAACTACATCCAGATTGACCACATGGGTGCAGGGGCCCACCTGCTTGGGCCATCTTTCCCAGGCACATTAGCAGGTAGCTGGATTGGAAGCAGAGCAGCTGGGACAGGTGCTCCAACATGGGAGGCAGAATACTTGAGGCAGCCTAAGTTGATAAAGCAAAGAGGTTTGTTTTGCCTTATGGTTCTGGAGGCTTAGGATCCAAGGTTGTGTAGGCCCCATTGGTTCCAATTTTGGTGATGGTGTTCTTGCTGGCAGAATCCCAAAGTGTCACATAGCATCATGTGGCAAGAGACCGGGAGTGTGCATGTCTTTATGTGTCTGTGTGTCTTATAAAGCCACCAGCATTCGATCATGGGGCTCCACCCTCATGACCCAATTCAATCTGCCTCCCAAAGGCCCCATCTCTACCTGCCATAAGTGGATTAAGTTTCCACCCTCTTATTACCGTTAACATAAGCCTGTAGGATTTAACCTCTGTGTTTCAGTGCCAAATCACATTCAAACCTCAGCATTCCTAGACTGTTGCAAGTCTTCTGCATTTTTAAAAAAGGATTTATTTACTTGAAAGGCAGAGTTACAGAGAGAGAAGGACAGACAGAATGATCTTCCATCTGCTGGTTCACTCCCCCAGATGGCTGCAGAAGCCAGGATCCAGGAGCTTCTCCCACATGGTTGCAGGGGCCCAAGCACTTGAGGCATCTTCCATTGCTTTCCCAGGAGCTTTAGCCTGGAGCTGTTTTGGAAGTGGAGCAGGTGGATCTTGAACCAGCACTCACATGGGAGATGTGGAGTTGCAGGCCATGGCTTTAACCTGCTGCGCCATAGCCCTGGCCCCAAATCTTCTCTATTTTATATGAAGCCATAATGCTAGCTCAACGTACTCAGAGTCCACAAAAAGAAGTAACATAGCAACCAAAAGAGACAGAAAAAATAAGAAAGTTAGATCTAAATCAAATCCTATTAATAACTGCATTGTTTCAAAAGCCTAAACTCAAACAACATTCTTCAGATTTTTAAGAAAGATTTATTTATTTATTTGAAAGAGTTACAAAAAGCGAGAGGCAGAAGCAGAGAGAGACGTGCTTTCCCAGGCGCATTAGCAGAGAACTGGGTCGGAAGTGGAGCAGCCGGGACTCGAGCTGGCGCTGTAGGTGGAGGGCATACCTACGGCTACACCCTCTTCAGATTTTCAATAGAACTCTGAGCAAACTAACCACAGGTCACTGACTTTAAATCTTAAAAATGTTATTCATCTTCTACCTTAACAAATACTATTCGTTCTTTCCCCTTCTCTCTCTCTCCCATCTAGAGAGAGGGCTTACCCAGGATTTCAGATTACCCAACTGGGCATTTTCAAATATTCACAGTCGGCGCTTTGTTGTCAACTTCCATTTTAAAAAGATATTTTTCTCATAAAGTTGGGAGAATACTTTCTGCCTAGGAGAGACGCGTGTCCATAGCTTCTGTGTTTTTTGCTGGTTCTATGACTGGAGTCCTCCCTTCACCCTCACTAAACACTCGTGATAATGCAGCCTCCCGCGTTCCCAGGGGTCTTCGACTAAGTCACCTGGTGGTCTCCTGGTTGTGAGAGCTGTATGTAGGTGGTGTGATGCTTCACACGGAACTAAAACACTCTCCCCCGAGATGTCATATAGGGAAGACTATTCCGTACTGCAATTCTCTGCCAACGCGGAAGTAAAACCCAGACTTCCGCCTCTCTGATGGTCTGCTGATGGCTGCGCTTCTCGGTCCCAGGCGAGTCCGGGTCTCTACACTAAAACGGCCTTGGTGGACGTGCTCAGCGGCCGCTTTTGTATCTATTTTTAGCTCACAGGTAGCACTCCTTTAGACTTATTTCCTCTCCCTCTTCCAAGTTTTAACACGTAAAAGGCTACAATGGAAAAAGGAAAACCGCAGGCTGGGTCGTTCAAGAACCATTCAGACTGCGCCTGCTAATCCAAAAACCGAGGGCTGGCCAGGGGTCCGGGGACGCGCTGTCCGGGGACTCCTGCGCCTGGAAGGCTGGAACGCGCGGTTGTGTCAAATTGGGAAATACGGTCTAACCCAGCGCTCGGCACGTTTCCCAGAGGGAACCGGAAACCAACTGCCCTCGGGGATTCTGGGAAATCTGCTTCAGGCCGCGACTTCCGTTCTCGGGGATTCTGGGAAGTGTAGTTCCGAGGTCCTGCGTCGCCCGGAGCACTTCCGCTGTGCAGGTTGAGATCGCGGCCTTGGTTCCGTTCAGGGCGGTGAGTGACCCGGGACCCGGGACCCC